ATCATCTCTTTTTGATTATAATGTCAGGTTAATTTACACAGTCGAAACTTAATAAGGAGGTAATTTCAACGATTTCGAAATTTTACCTTTGAAAACGTTTCCTTGTGTTTAGGTAGGCATATCTGTCAATAACAGACTGAATATATCACTTTTTACTCATTCAAGTTGGCATTAAATTCATATACAATGCCATTTTAATATCGTGGGAAAGCAGAATATATTCGAAATCACGAATGAGCAAAATTCTCACCTTTCGCACGTGCAAACTTTGAGCGGACGTTGCGTGCGCATAAAATATTGAATCACCATAAATTTTTGCATAGTGTTATTTAATATATAGTTTGATAAGCATGAAAAGTTTCAGAAGATTTCAAAAAGAACTTGGATCACAACGGGACTCCAAAGTTGGTAAAAATCGTGAAAATAACAATTTTTAGTGATTTTAGCTATTTTAAATGAATTTGGGCGTGTCTCCACGTGTGCAACTTTTCGATTTTCAACTTTAAAACTAGCCTATAACACAATTTAGACCTTTAGGAAGCAAAATTGAGCTCCACAACCCAAGGGATGGCCCAACACCAGAGAATACTAATTCACAACTTTTGTGTTTTTATAAAATTATTCTTCAAAAAAGCACAAACTTCAATAGCGAATATCTTTATGAAGGAGCAAGGTAGGAAAACTTTCCGGTAGATTTTCAGAATGCTTGAACAATTATCTAAGATAAAAATGTCCTCAGATTTTGAATAAAATTACTCCTTAATGCTTTAAAATCGATTTGAAAAGTTGTTATTTTGTCAAAAATCAAGTTTTAAAAACACTTAAATTGATGACGTCATCAAGTGATGATGATGACGATAAATTATTTTTCGATATAATGTAAACTAAAGTATAAACAATTATCTTTAAAACCTGTGGTTCGAAATGACTGTATCTTTTATACTTTTGAATCTACGGACACTTAAATGTAGGCTACAATTTACTGCAAAAGCGTCTATACATATATACATATATATATACATATATAGCTTCACGACAATCTGTTGTAAAACAGGGGTTCCAGAAAACCCACTTCCCGATACTCCTGCAACATGAAATTTTTTTTACAGTCGATTTGGACAAGGTCTAGACGCTCTGCAAAGTTTCAGATCTCTAACTCGATTTTAACATGGTTTTTAAGGCACCTGAATATGGCGATTTTGGGTTTTTTACCTAATTTCGTATAACATGCTGGCGCGTATTTTGCGCAAATTTCTTAAAAACCTCCACATAACTATTTCTTATTCCTGTCATCTTTAACATTGAATTAGAATGTTTTGAACTTAAATATACCTGCTGAACTACTTTCGATGAGTCTTAATGCCTGGAAAACAATAAAGGGGATATAATAGTATAGGGGGTACATAGTGTTGTGAATATAAGGGCAACGGTTATGCTTGCCAGCATTGTGATAATCTACCTTGCTAGTCTATTATTTCACATAGCCATGTGCCTACGCGTACTGCGTGACGCGCTTGTTTCCGGCGGTCGCGCGCTACTGCAAGCGAGAGGGCTCTGGTTAGAGCAAGTCTATTATGAACACTAACACATAACAGAACAGTGAGTAACACATAACAGTGAGAGGCTGGCGTCCAGCAATACTAATTATTTAAAGTAAAAATGTATGTAGATACAAATTTATGTACATAAACCGTCATACTCATATGTCATAAACGGTCCCAAAATTATTTAATTGAACATGGAGTTTGACGTTGGAGTCAGAGCTTTACACTTTACAGTTTCCATAACCTTACCTGAATAATTGCAAATTGAATAGGGTGAATTCTGAATAGTAAAATTTATTGACATTAATTAATGCTTTCAAGTTTCTTTACCCGGAGAACTCTGTTTTAGTTTTACTTGTCCCTCGGCACTCGGTAACAAAAAACCGTGAGCCGTGACACTTAGTCACAATAATTAAGTCATAAGTCATATTTCTAGCATTAATGATTAAACTTAAAGTCAAAAAGAAGTTTGACGGATGTTACTCCATACTTGACGGATGTTACTCGTCTAAATTTCTTCGAAGTAGCGCGCGCCGCTTTCTTCTCGAAATGTTATGGCGCGCCGGGCCAGACCATTAACAATGGTCAAAAAGAAGTCCATTACTCGTAAAAGAAAATTCAAAATCGACGTCATGAAACCCATGATTATTTTAAATCTAGATTGACTCCAGTCTCCATTGTCAATTGTTCAATGATTTCATCAAAATGTTTTAGGAAAATGTTTACAGATTTGCGAATTTTGTACTCAAATTTACGTTGAAAAAAAAACTGAATTTATTTTGGAAAAATCTCGGCTAAAATCCCGGCTAAAACCAAAATCCCGGCCGGTACCGGTACCGGTACAAAATCGCCAAATACCGGCCGGTATCCCGGTCGAATTCTGGTAATATATACATATTGATATACTACTACTACTGACTCAGTCCATATCAATATGCTAAGCATTGTAAAATGCTGACATGTGACAGTAAACTTTTAATGTTAATTAGCAACATGTTCTTGTTGAATTTCAACCGGGTCCTTCTGACACGATTTACATCCACCAAACAGACTCCGCAGTGATGCTCGGGACTTAGGGGTTAGTGACAGAAAGACAACAGGATTCCAAATTGAGGAAACAATAGGAAACATTATTCCACCCCAAAATTGCAGCCAACCATTCGCCTTAGACGTCGCCTCATTATCGGTGAAATCAGACTCCATCACATAAAACCAGATAGGTGTTCCCAGAATGGTTACTAACAGAAAGCTCATGAGATTAGTCATCATAACCTTCACTGCACTGAGAACCCTGCCTCCCCCACTTCCTCCCGGAACAAGCCTCTGTTGGTAAAGAAAAACAGCTGTCATTATACAGGACACCACTGCAACTACCTGAACCAGAGTAAGAACACAGTTTTGTAGCGAGACCGACACCATTTGCTGTACCTCACTTTTAAGTGGTAGCTTAAAAGGGTTCAGTGTCATTGTAACATACTTTGAGCCGGAGAACTGCCCTTCTCCTGGGGGTAAGAAGATAAACAGCCCGTGGATTGACACTTGAACAATGATCACAGCCAGCAATCCAGTCACCACATTTCGTTTCTCGATGGGGTAAAAAGGGTAAATTATCTGAATAGATCTGACCACGGCTAAAACCCCCGTTGTAATGAAGACGGTAGTGTTTAGCGAGGACATTATCAGACTCGTGATTGTATTGACTAAATTCGGAGCAGCAAAACAGTTCTGTGGCTGCTTTGCTGCTGATCCCACTCCTCTACACCTCATGTCGTCCAGTTTTATAGTTGCAGCGTAGTAGAGCACGGTGCCGGGTAGAAGAAGGCAAACCAGGAAATCAGTTGCAGACAAGACACAGTATAGGAGTCCTGCTAGGGAAGATTTCCTTTTGTTGTAAATGAAAACTGTTGGGTTGAGGAACAGGGAGAGGAGAAAGAGGAGAATCATCAGACTGAAAGTGATGAAGAGGGTGGGGGTTGCGGAGGAGAAGTGGAAATATATCATCTTATCAGCTTCGTAGTTTCGGTTGTTAGCATTTAGTTACCAGTTAGAGACACAGGATTATTTCTCATAAATATTTTAACGATCTTAAAAATAAAATTAAAAATTGATTAAAAATACAACTTTAAAAAGTTAACTGATGATGTAATCAACAGAATCTACCACCAAAACATAAATAATAAATATCCCCTCCCTCAAACCGAACAAGTCTCTGTCTCACTGGCGACTGGACCTACTTGAATTACTTGACCGCTTGACGTGATGCAGCTAGTTAATCTGAGTAACAGCTGGTTATTAGTGGGGACTCTTGTGACTCGCGAGACACGTGCTTTCCGTCTAATATCGAGCTACGGAGTGATTAAAGATAACTATCTAACACCGGGGTTTTAGGAGAATCTAGATGAATTATCTCTTTATTCTTGATCGTTCTCATTCTGTTAGATGACTAACAGGTGTGAGCTGGAGCGTTCAGCTGCACTCATACGATACGGATAATCTCGGAGGCAGGAGGAGTAGTTAAATGCTAGGGTTGATTACAAAATTCTCGTATTAATAAGTGTTTTATATCTGGAGGGGGATGTTTAAAACATATAAGTGATACGAAAGATTACTTTTTAGTGTTTTATATGAACCGTACTACAACTTGTACTTGTAGTACAAGTGGCTGTATCATGATAGGTAATCTCATCGTTATTTAGCTGATTTTAAAGTTCACCTACACTCATACAGCTAAAAAATATCGCTGTTGAAATAATGGACCAAAACCACGTGACAATAAAGCTAGGTGAAGGAAAATGTTCCTGATTCTATTAAGAGTTTAATTATCGAGCATAATTTGAGCCACGTTATACTTATAGCCGTTAGAACTATTTCATAGCTTACTGCTTACCAATCTTTTAAGGTTTGTATAATTAATCCTGTGTATAGCGACTTAAAATGTGATGTAATATTTTTACACCGGTTTTAAAAATAACACAACCTTTTCAAAACGAACACAGAAATATAAATATACTGACTATAAGTATAACGTGAATATGATTAAAAATTATCTGACTATATGCTTTTATATAGAATTTATACATATAATTATCAATTATAATTTATATATTATCTGGCTATTTAATTCTGAACTCTGTTCTGAATTTAGTTTATACACTATATAGTTTATACACTACTATGCATATCATGTTAAATTAATTGACAGTTAATTGAAAAATATCATATAAATAAGAAGAGATAATGAACTAAGTATTGCAACAATAAATTGAGTTCTGTACGGGTACCAAACTCTAATTAGCGATTCTACTCTTAAACATATCTCAAACCAGTAAGAAAAGCTTCACGGCGTAAAATTTCTCAATTATTTTAAGTTTAACTCGGCTTGGATCCTAAGCCAAATCGATAATACCTCTTAATTTAAATAAAAACTCTAAATAATAATTTACAGGCTACTTTAACTTAATGTTACGACACTGATCACAGATAACAGATATAGCAAGACAGTTTTACAAAAGCGATGATAAGCAAAGAACTAAAATATTTATTGCTTCAACAAGACTGTTTCTTAAACCGTTATAAGCCTATTATGTCAAAACTTAAATCACTTATTCTCGCCAGATAATGTCAGTTTTAACAAAAAAACAAATATGAGACATATTCAAAAGTTTACAAATCAACCCTAAAATGACAACCCTATAATTTAAATATACATGGAATTTACATATGATTATGATAAATATTTGCATTGGTTTAACTTCTGTGTTCATGGTTAATGATTTGATTTACAGATTGTCACTGTCAGTCCTTTCAATTTCACATCGATAACGACTCTAGAAAGATCTAGAAAGTTCGAAAGGCTTCAACCGTCATTCCGAAGCCGCGGCTCTCCACATTCACAACAAAACCGAGCAGTCTTAACCGGGTATTTGTACCCGCAATCGTAACAGTAGGGAGGGTTCTTACTGCCGGGGTCTCCGCGGAAGACGCCGCGCCCGCTCCCTGCACGTGCAGGTGCAGGTTCAGCTGGAGGACCACGTGCGCTGGATACCCTGGGAGAGAGAGAGGTGTGAGGAGTGCTTTTTATTTAGTTTCTAACACTTTCATGTTTTATATCTTCTCACAACTAGAATATTGCAGGTATTAAGTACTGTATCAAATAGAACTCCCGATCACTTTAACTGTAAACAAATCTAAATTTTCCCGATATATCAAGTTGCCCTGAAATGAGTTGCTCATTGTAGTCATATTGTCACACGATAAACATTTAAAAAACAAAGAATTGGTTTTATACCGTCCTTTCTACCGCCCAGACTAGAATATAGAAGAATTTGACGTTTTTGAGAAAATTCCATAAACGCTTGCCAGTAACCAAGGTTACACTAGTGGTTATTAACGTACAATGAATACCACCAACAAGATCCCACGCAAATAGCGTTAAGCATAAATTTTTGTCCTCATGTTGAACGTTTGACAGTTGAGATACGAGGCAAACTTTAATGTTCACACATTTTAGTATTAGTAAATTTTCTGTGTATTCAAGTCTCTTGTGAACAACTGCAAATTCGCATTTCCTGGTTCAATAAATATCCATCTTTTCTCAAGAAGTCCCAGTTAGAGATTCTTGAGTTGCGTAGTGACCTAAATCTTCCAGACAATTCATCTAAAATCAAAACGTTCAGCCTAAAGTCGTTTCTGCAGCAGCAATATCTGACCTCTCTACCAAAACTATGCCGACACCATGGACCAAGATACAAGCCACCCTAACACCGGGTGTGGTAAAGGTGTTGGGTATCACCTTCTTCCTCGACCTCCTCTCTTTCAGTGGCACCGTCTACTCCTACTTGGGTCTTGTTAACCTTTACAACCTGATAGACGACCCGACCCTCTATGTTAAAGTAGCCTCAGTAATCGCCACACTAACAGGACTTCCCACTTCCCTCTTAAACGATAAACTCTACAAGATCCCGCCCGGAAAGCTGATGCCGGTCCTGTATTTCATCAAGGGAACGTCTCTCTTTCTCTACGGAGTTATCATGTACCAGGAGTCCTGGGACCCGTACCTAAAACTTGGCCTGTCATTTGTTGTGACCACGCCGCTCCAATTCGCGGCCCATTTTGACGGTTCCTACTTCGAACGGCACCTGTTCGTGGAGCTGAGCAAGAAGTACGATGTTAAACTGGGGGTTACAAACTCGGGGAGGTCTGTGATAGGGAGTTTAACACATGGTATCCAGGTGATAATAGTGGGACTGCTTTACAGTTCCCTGTCTCTCGAGCAATGTTCTCTTTATCTCTGTTCGTTCTGCTACATCTTAGCACTGATCATGACCTTGGTGTCTAAGAAGCTGTTTGAGGAGTATCCGGGAATTCCAGCCCGAAAACAAAAGTCAGTGTCTCTGACCGGGAACCTGAGGATGCAGTTCCGGTCCCTGCTGGACTGTAGGATATTCAAGATATTACTGGCTAACCTACTGGACACCATGACCATCTCCCACACCTACGTGGCTCTCTTTTTCCTCAGTTCCGGGCTAGATGAACTCTCCATGAGCTACATCTCCGGTATTGCCAAGTTTCTCCACATTATCTGCGCAGTGATCAACATTGTTAAGTACAAGTACAGGTGGAGTAAACGGTTCGCGGACATGTTCATTGTAGGTCACGTGATCGCCCTACTTATGGTAGTGTACGTGACTCTGAGTTGGATATACGAGGTCCTGGTACCCCAGATGTTGGGGGTGGAGGTTGTGGAGCACAGTACTATGCCAGGGTGGATGGTAGGGTACTACATCATCTCACTTTCAGTAGGACTGATTACTGGGACTATCACTCTTATTAAACAAGAATTCTTACAGGACACTATACCTGCCCAAGACAGGGGCTCTATCGCAGGGGTCGATAAGTTTATATCTCTGTGCATTCACATTGTGATATCAGGTATCAACGTGTGGTTACCAGATACGTATCTCTATCTGTTTAACTTTGTTCTGTCAGTTGTGATACATGTTGTGACGGTTGGGATCATGTTCTCGTACAAGTTCAATGAAGGAAAGATGGAATGTGAGATTTCTAGTGATGAGTATGAGACAATTCCTCTGACATGCAGTGATTGTAGCATTGACAATGAGCACAAACATTGATTCAAGAGTTATGGACCTTCTGAATAAACAGTTTTTTGTCCACTATATACATATTTTATAACGTTGATTTAAAAAATAATGAATCGTTGATATCATGACGTAATTGTTATGATTTCACATTCGACAATTAATTTGTGTAGCCAATATTACCAATATGTACAATATTTTATACATTTATCGTGGGAAAAATAATGTACATTTAGAAAACATTTCCTTCACTTACTTTCTGGACGGTGGTCCGCCGTTGAGTCTGGCGTTCAGGTTATTCAGTAACTTCTTCTCCGGCCGAACGATATGTTCTTCCTTTAAAAAAAGTATTATATAGGATCATAAGAAAAAGTAATGATAATTACTTGATAAATTATAAGTGCAGAACAGTTATCTCGAAGAAAAAAGTTTCGGTTTATCGAGTCAGCTATAAAGTATATTGCACGCAGACTGCAAAGGTTTGATGGTGATGATGTACTGTTCATAAAGCTAAAATCAGTCATTCTGTCTCATATGTAGAATACCATGCAAACCATGCGGTGACAAATTCTGTGAACATCAGTAGTTGATGAACCATGCGTTGATAGACTTACTGGTGTGCTCTGTTTAGTTGGTGTGCTCTGTTTAGCGTGATAAGTATGAATTGGAGTGCTCCAGTCGTCCTCAACCTGCTGTAACATGAGAGTGAAATCAGTGACATGGAAACGGGCGAGATTGGGTAGGTGAAATGTGAAATGATTGACAATGTAATGTGAAATGTAAAATGATTGAGAATGTAATGTGAAAGATGTGAGTTGAGTTATGAAAAACGAAGTGCATCAGTTCTGGCGAGATAACTCTAATCTTGCAACAAAGTGTTAATACATTATCTAAATCTAACAAATATATTCACCCAGAAAACATAAAAACCATTCTCACCACCTTATCAGTACAACTCTTACCTTATCAGCGTATCTGCTGGGAATCCCAGTTCTCAGAGGAGTTGGAGCGGACTTGTTCTCAGTCTCACGCAACGTGCGAGATTGTGGTGCACCGCGCACTCCTCCTGGACACATTTGTTTTGGTTAGGTTTATAACGATGAAACTTATCGTTATCTCACGTAAGTGACGGTCGGAAGATATATGTACAATATATTTATATACATAATACAATTTGTTGATATCGGAGGTGACCTAGAAAATTGTTTCCTTTTTTTTAAAGACCGAGAACAATTTGTTTTATTACTGATCCGCTTAGTGACTAGTTTCCATTAACCGACACTCGACAGCCGAAAAGTGTATGTTTTTTAATAATCTTATCATATTATTATGTAAGATGGTTTTTCGATTAATGGAAACTAAATAGGGTACTTAGCCATTAAAGAAATCGCATGCCAATATTCTAACTGTAAGGTAACGTAAGACGGAACAAAGAAGCGGAAATATTTCTTGATTAGATGCAGACAATTGAATGATCGGCACGACAATGCAATAGGTATATTCAGCTACATGCTAGAATTGTGATGAACAACATTAACATTCGAAATAAGAATAATCAACTTCCGTACACAGGGATCAGTGCAAATAATACCATGTACGTGCTTTATCATGAATCGCACGATAATTGTATTGTGTATAAAACCTTAATTTTTAAACAAAAAAGTGGTCTAGATTGACATTCTTTTATTTTTCTTAAATTAAATTAAAGTTCACAGAAATCTACCTGGTCTCATTACCGGTATTCTGGTGTACCTCTCATTAATGAACCCTAGAAATGAATTTCGAATGAGCACACCATTCACAGATAAGTAATGAAGTAATATGAGCCCGAGTAGATAACAAAAAGATTTTCAAAATTCACCTGCGTTTCTCGCAGGAGCTTGTTGTTGCTGCTGCTGTTTCCGTTTGTCGAATGTAGATTTAAACTGGAAAATATAATAGGGTAAATACGTTGTATAATCCATTCAAGTCATAAGGTCAGCATATTTGCAGTTTTTGATATCCACGACAAAGGGTCGGCAACAGATGAAAACCAATTATCTCCTGACAACTTCAGCTGATATCACTTCAAACCTTCAAGATAATCTACGTCTTTAAACAACTTTTTGTGAGCGTTTATTGTTTTAAAGTTATTATTAATTCGATAGCGCAAATAATCAATAAATACGCACTCCTTTCATTTTGTCCAGTTTTTCCTTGGCTGCAGCTGCTTTCGTCGTCATTGCAGGCTTTCTCTTTGCTTGCTCCGCACAGAATTTCACGTGGCGCTCGGCCGCATTTGGATTAAACCTGAATTTTGATAGTCCTGATAAAAACTTGGTAGAAATACATATACATTCATTGGCATAAATATATGACTCAATCAAGACTGGAAGGTTTCTCTATAAAATCAATTTACAAAACAAATTCGCATCGACAGCGTATAAAAGAGCTAGTATCGAGCAGAATGGCTTCTAAAACACTCACGATCTGCCACAGGTAGGGCATTCCACGTGGTCGGATGGTTTTGTGGAAGGGGGAGGCGGTGCAATTGTTTCTCCCCGGGCTTCTGCTGCTTTAGCTTCTCGCGCGTATTGGATATTTCGGACAAATTCCTCGTGCTTTTCTTTCCAGCCCTGACTTCTTGGGTTTCTCTTCCACCACACGCTCCTATAAAGTTAGGTTATTAATGTGATTTATCGTGGGGTGTGGGCGATTTCTCTGTCGCTAACATTCTCGTTAAAATGTTATCATATAATATTAGGTAGAACTAGAAGAGTAATCTCAATATTACATATAGAAACTCTCCCCGAACTTACACTTTTAGCAGGAAGTTTAATGTCAGTGCCCGCTACCCTCATTTTCTGAATATCCATGGGTTTGCGGACCTTGGTGTTGACCTTGTTGCATATTGGCAGATGCTTTTTAAGCACGTCCGGGTTGAAGGTTCGGTAACAGGTAGGGCATTGGTCCTCCAATATGTTCACTGAAAATAGCAAATCAATAATCATGGTAACTTGACCACAACTTTGTTAAGCCTGGGTGTTCGACTCAGCACAAACAGAAAGACAATTTCACTTGAAGCTTCAGGAGATGCTTCGGGCGAACATTTGGGTTTTCTCGTGGATATCATAACCAATAGAATAAGTGAAATAAACATAGTTGCGACAAATTGAACTATTTACGGGAGCGATATACACTATTCAGTGCAGTACTGATCGTTCATATGTAACGTTAACCAAATTTAAGCCATCTCAGACCCCACCCTCCCGTCCTCGTAAGCCGTTATATTGTGTAGAAGTCACACTCACGAGCATTTCCAAACCCCTTCCTCTAGCATACGTAATATGTGAACGATCCGTAAGATGATACCTACTTAAATTGTACTCACTGGACATGTTAAAACTTGACAGCGAGTCTGGAAGAATTAGCAGTGATCTCCGAGAATAGAGCTAGTTTTCAGACTTTTCTACCAACAAATTCACAACCTCATCTCTCAACCATCGTCACTCCGCTACACATAGCTACAAAACATACACAAATTACGTTACTGATCGACGATTACAATGAGCGATCAGACTATTACAATGAGCGATTATTAAAACTGAATTGAAGAGAGTGGTAGTTTAATAATGTTAGAAGCTAGTGAAGCGTTTTTGTCGTGCACGAGCATTCGACTGTATTCACTTCGCACATACAGTGATGTACTGAATTTATTTGTAGTCAGACGTCCAGAGTCCAGACTGAATATGCCATTCTGAACGATCATAATCGGAAGCTTGTAATGGTGACTAATTTGCTTGTTCCCCTAGAAACCTGCATAATATATATTATATACAGTATTGAGTAACCTAACTCCACCGTTTGTAGTATGATGCTACACAGTACACAGTACATAGCACACAGCATGAACACAGACAACTAAAAAGCAATGACTGGGATATAAGATGATAACGACTTCTGGATCTATAAATAGACTGTAGAGTACAATTAGGTCCAGAGCAAAGCGTGCAAGCTATATTTCCGCTATCATGTGAACTATCAAATATGTCCGTCAGCATTCTCTTCTTGCTAGAGGTCTGGTAAAGTAAGATTATTGAATGTTGTATTATAGGATTGTATATAGGATTAATCAATATCTATAAGGTTACGACGAGCCCATATCGATTATTAGATGAGGGAAAAACTATATTTCAACTTGTGATTTCAAAATTGTGTAGTTACGTCATTAATTATGTGAAGAGTAATATTGCCATGGTGACCGTTGAAGTACAGTAGCTTCAGTAAATTCATTGCCTACAGTATGTAAGAACTAGAACTAGGAACATTCATGATTTGGCGCCAACCAAATTTATACACGCACATGTATAAACCAACGCGCGCACGACACACAAGAGCCACAATGGAAAGGTATTACGTATCTTGCGCCGCGCCTTACATTTTAGTACGCCTTTATAATCCGTTGCGTGTTTGCCACATTTATATTAAAAGAACACAGCACCTTACACCAAAGCACTGATAAGCAAGAAATTCTACACCAACTTGACCGAAACAATTCAGAATGATATTGCTGGTGGTTTTATCAGTGTTAGCAACACTAGGGAACGCATCTGCGAATGATGTGACGAAACCAAACATTGTGATTATGTACATGGATGACATGGGCTGGGGAGACATTGGAGCCAACGGTAAGATAACATGATAATAAAATAATATGATTACTTAATTTAGTATAAAAAGTGCCCATTACTCTAGCAATTTATAAAATGGTATCGAAAAAGAAACTTTAAGTTGCAGCCGCAAAAGACTTGCGATGACCGGGAATCGAACCCGGATCCACTGCTTGGAAGGCAACGATGCTGACCATTACACCATCATCGCATGTTAATCCTGCAAAGTTTATATATAAATATCAGATTTTTGGTCTCATGCGTCTTAAATGGAACACTCAGGTAACTGGGCAAAAGAGACTCCGAACATAGATAAGATGGCAAGTGAAGGAATGTTGTTCCCAAGTTTCTATTCCGCTGCTCCGATATGTTCCCCTTCTAGAGCTGCACTTATGACAGGTAAAACTGTGGATATTGCACAATTTAATATGCTACCGTCTGTTGTACACTGTTATACACTGTTGTATCATTTTGATACAGTATGCACTACTTATCAACAGTATGTTTTGCAAATCAATATTGATGTAAGTGAACCATATAATATCATTAATTTATCTAGCACTACATAAATATCCACCACTGAAAACAGGAAATATCACTAACAATAACCCTACTCCTGTCTCCTACCTAACCACACACACACACAGGTAGATTGCCGATAAGAAACGGTTTCTACTCCACAAACAGACACGGAGTTAACGCTTACACTCCGCAAACTATAGTAGGGGGTATCACTGAGACTGAGTATCTCCTTCCTCAACTTCTTAAAGAGGTAAGTTATTATAATACAACAAGTTATAGCAACTTTGGGAAAACAGTGCTTAATTAATCGTCCCATTTGATTTAAAAAAACCTTCCATGACAAGGATCGGAATAAACCTACAAGACCAAAAACTTGAAGCTCCATCAATATAAATCAAAATCTCCACTCCACACAGGGCGGATACAAAAGTAAGATAATAGGAAAATGGCACATGGGGCACAGGCCGGACTACCTGCCCCTCAACCGTGGGTTCGACGAGTTCTTTGGTTCCCCAAACTGCCACTTCGGCCCGTATGACGATGTGAAAACACCAAACGCTCCCGTTTACAAAGATGATCTGATGTTGGGAAGGTATTATACTAACTACACTATACACAAGGGACTGTCTAATCTTACTCAGATCTTTATCAAGGAGGGCACTGACTTCATCGAGAACCAGGTTAGTTTAATTAAATGTGTTACACTCGGTTTTTTAAATTTTGGTGAAGGCTTCACCATCTTTAATTCACCGCAAACCAGGTTAGAGTTTAGTTGAAGCGTCTTATAATCAAAGATGTAGCTGAAGATGTAATACTGGCTATTTTTATTGGAACCTTACGAAAAAACAAGGACTCTAATAATATTGTTCGACAAGTACAGTGAGTAAACTACAAATTGCTTTAAGCTATAAAACCAAGATAAACAGCTAAATGTTTCCAGGCTAAAGCAGGTAATCCATTCCTACTGTACTGGACACCAGACGCAAACCACCAGCCTGCATACTCCTCTGAGATGTTCTGGGGCAAGAGTAGGCGAGGTAGAACTTCTAGATTATTCTAAAATATTTGTTCGATTCCTGGTAAAAGTAGGACGCTTTGAAGGATGTTCAAACCACCCCGACTGAACATATCAAGTCTTATCGAATAGAGAATAATTACCATGTTAAGAAATTTGCGTATCCAAAGTCGTACTACGTTATCGTCCAATAGCATTGCACGTAAAAATATGGAAGGGATTATAAAAGAAGAAAAAACCGGAATTGTAAAAGAAAGGCCTAATGAAAATACCCTACCCAGACAGCAGTTACGGAGACTCAGTGATGGAGGTAGACTACGGCGTGGGAGTTATACTGGCTAAACTCAAAGAGCTGAACATCGAACAGAACACTCTGGTATTCTTCTCCAGTGATAACGGTGCAGAGGGTATAGCCGGCAAAGCTGGTTAGTACTACTTTAGGGGTCGCGTAGTGATAACGGTGCAGAGGGTATAGCCGGCAAAGCTGGTTAGTACAACTTTAGGGGTCGCGTAGTAGGTGTGTAAAGGAAGCAATCTACATATCTAGTCAGCACACACTAGCGCCCAAAGTTTAGATTCACATGTCCTAATCAATGACATTGTTGATGATCGGAGCGATCGCGTTGGCTGTTTGTCTGCAGCTGCATAAATAGTAGTTCTCTTCATTAATTGGAGGGAGTTGATGATAAGAACATGACACATCCTCAGGTGGTAGTAACGGTCCACTGCTATGTGGCAAACAGACCACATTTGAAGGAGGAATGAGAGAGCCAGGGATAGCCTGGTGGCCGGGAACCATCAAACCCGGTGTAATATCCCCTCAACTTGGGACTACTATGGATATTCTGGTGACTGCAGTGGGTGTGGCTGGGTTGCAGCTACCTTCTGATAGGATATATGATGGTATTGATCTGTTCCCTGTGCTGTCTGGTAAAGTTGAGAGTATTGAGCGACCAGTTTGGTATTACAGGTATGCAGCTTATGTTTGGATGTAATGTAGATAAACTGTTTTATAGTCCTAAATTAAGCAACCATTGAGCAAGTGCTGCTCCACGAACCTTATCACAATATATCAGACTATAGTAAACATTGTCTGGTTCTACGGGCCAGTCCCCAGTCAATCAATTAATAATTTATTTCTTATCTTGATCCTAATAATACTAATAAAAGCACTCTGACAGAGGTAACGAGTTATTTGCTGTAAGAGTGGGTCAGTACAAGGCTCACCTGTGGACCTGGTCACACGAACACTACAACTTCTGTCCGGGAGAGTATGTTAAGGATGTTACTACTCCTGATCAAGTGAGTATGTTAAGGATGTCACTACTCCTAATCAAGTGAGTATGTTAAGGATGTCACTACTCCTGATCAGGTGAGTATGTTAAGGATGTTACTACTCCTGATCAAGTGAGTATGTTAAGGATGTCACTACTCCTAATCAAGTGAGTATGTTAAGGATGTTACTACTCCTGATCAAGTGAGTATGTTAAGGATGTTACTACTCCTGATCAAGTGAGTATGTTAAGGATGTCACTACTCCTGATCAAGTGAGTATGTTAAGGATGTCACTACTCCTGATCAAGTGAGTATGTTAAGGATGTTACTACTCCTGATCAAGTGAGTATGTTAAGGATGTTACTACTCCTGATCAAGTGAGTATGTTAAGGATGTCACTACTCCTGATCAAGTGAGTATGTTAAGGATGTCACTACTCCTGATCAAGTGAGTATGTTAAGGATGTTACTACTCCTGACCAAGTGAGTATGTTAAGGATGTTACTACTCCTGATCAAGTGAGTATGTTAAGGATGTCACTACTCCTGATCAAGTGAGTATGTTAAGGATGTTACTACTCCTGATCAAGTGAGTATGTTAAGGATGTTACTACTCCTGATCAAGTGAGTATGTTAAGGATGTCACTACTCCTGATCAAGTGAGTATGTTAAGGATGTCACTACTCCTGATCAAGTGAGTATGTTAAGGATGTTACTACTCCTGATCAAGTGAGTATGTTAAGGATGTCACTACTCCTGATCAAGTGAGTATGTTAAGGATGTCACTACTCCTGACCAAGTGAGTATGTTAAGGATGTCACTACTCCTGATCAAGTGAGTATGTTAAGGATGTTACTACTCCTGACCAAGTGAGATAGAGATTGGGCATAAGTTGGATTAAAGATTAATTTCTTATCTTAATTATCTATTTCATGCTATGAAATCATTCCAGAATAGTTCTCAAAGTAGGCTTAGAAACGTGCAAATAAACACTGAATACTGCGCAAGGGCAGCACATTCCTTTTTGGAATCGTAAAATGAGGGAGAATATGCCAGAGTTCTGATTCTCATTGTCTATCCCAGGTGAACAGAACATCAAACCCCATAGTAATAAACCTTGATAATGATCCTGGAGAGAAGTACACTATAACTAGTGGAGCTAGATTCAAGGAGGCGATGGCTCTGATCAACCCTTACTTACAGGAACACAGGGACACTATGGTCAGAGGTATTATAAGCTGACTAACATGGCTCTAGTAGTTATAGCTTTATTGGCTGGTCCTTGTTTGGTTTGGTGGCTCTACCTGTTATCTTGTTTACATTTTTATAAATATTTACCCTGAATTCAAAATAATAGATAAGTACTGATATAGGACTGGAGTTTAGATTTTAGAAAATCACACCACATTTACTTGTTTGACCCTACGTTTAAGAGTAAGACCTAAGTTTACTTGATCACTGTAACGTAAGAACATGTGACAGGTGAGCCCTCCCTGAACTACTGTGACAAAATGGTGATGAACTGGGCACCACGAGGGTGTGAGGAGATCAACTACTGTCTCCAGGGACCTACTACTTCCAGTATCAAGCTCTGTGGTTGGGATCACTGAGTGTTTTACAAGTTACAGAGCCGGATTGTGCGGCTGTGGTGGTGGGGTTGTGACGTCATGATTTGTGGGACTGTGGGAATAGCTGTGCAGACGATTATTGGACAAGCATATTCTTTGATTTCTAGTTTTTATGTTATATATCATAAAGTTTGTTTTAAAACAATGAATATAGAATGAAACAAATCGTATGAAATATTTGAATCTTATTCAAATCAGATTAAAATTTTCTCGTTTAGTAAAAGTTCAATAATTTAACTTAGATGGGAAAAAATAAATGATGTGAAATTTCATTAAAAATAATATAGGTCAATAGGGAGTGCAAGATATTTGTAATACCTGTATTGACTTTTAAAGCAAAATAAGATAATATGAGCTCTTAATTGCTTAGAATAATTATTTTTGCAGCGAAAAAATTTCAGTTTTGTAGCGAAAAGTTAAACCACCTTCCCTTAGTTACCAATATCTGTAAAACAGAAATCTAAACATCATCACCATCATCATCGACCAAAATGCAGTTTGAATAACTTAACTAAGAATTTAAAAAAAGTAACACAACAAATAAAAATAAAATCGCTCCCGCTAATTCAACTAAAAGGATCATACCTGGGCTTTGAAGACTGCGCGCTAACACCCTGTAATTCAGCCAGCGCTCCAATTATCAACTTAATCCTTGCTTTGATATCAACACTTTTTTCAGTCAAATGTTCCGACTTAACCGTCAACTGATCGATCTTCTTCTTTAAAAACCTCAGTGCTTCATCAAACGTTAACTGCACGTGGAGCCCCATCCCCACATCAACGTATATATAGTCAGTGTTCTTAACCTCAGCTTGCATGTAAAAGTTACAACCAACATCAATCATCTCCTTGATAGGTCTGCTGTCTATTGTTTTGAGCCGCTCTATTGAGGTCTGGAGTTTCATGTATTCCGCCACTTCATCGTATATCTTATCTCGTTCCTCCAGCACGTGGTTAAGGTCGTTCTTCAGGACCTCGTTAACGAACTCCTCGTATTTCAGCACTTTGTCTGAGATTGGTTGGGTGACGTTGACGTCGTCATCTTCCATTAGTAAGCTCTCGGGGTTGAAATCGTAGCATGACATGTCCTAATAGGAGTTTATAAAGTTAGTTTATAATGATTTAATTTAAATTTGTTGATTGTATGATTTTTCCTTTTATTTGTTATCGCTGTGTACTGGTTACTTTAATTCTGAACTTTCGATAAAACTAATTTCAATCAATTATTATCAAATACCGCGTAATTTTACAACGGACTAAAAGTGACCCTCATTGAGGTCGTTACAATCAGTCAATAATATGATGCTGAAACAATTTTGGAATTGGACAAATTTAAAGTAATAATTAACATGTATAAATTTTAGATTTCGATACAGTGTTTTCAAACAATAACTTATTGAAATCGATTTAAAATTGACTTCCCACAATTTTATGGACAGAGGTAAAAATTAAAAACATATCCGAATGCTTATTGATTTCAAATCGCTGCTATGCGTCGAAACACGTCAATAAAATTTAAAATTAATAGGCTATCGTACCGATATAATAGGAAGAGACAGATTTAAACAAGATAATATTTTTTGCTTAAAATAAAAATACGTAAGTGACAGAACCGGACAACTAATATTCAGTTTCCAGACGGGTAAATGTGCTAATCACGACGAAAGTATTGCTAATCAAATTGATATAAATGATCGAAACAAAGAAAATGTTTAAACACTGACCAAGATCGGAGAAGTAGGCTCAGTTTGGTAATTTATGGTAAATATACAAGAAAGCTTTAACAAATAAAGAATTTCCACAATAATAATTGTTTAGAAGTCAGAACATTATACTACCATGTTAACAGGAAACAATCTGACTGCATTTAAAATAAGTAAGTCAACATCAAATGTTCTAAGTCGCATATTCGTGCACCTTTTCAACCAAATCTGGTGACTATTCCCAGAACCTGTTGTGTAGTCAGTAGCAAAGTTGAAATTGAGAACTGTCACTCTGTTACACACTACCTTTAGGTGTGTAGAAGTTTTGGTTATTATCCAGTGTTTGAATTTATCAGCTGGTACATTGTTTAGAAACTGTTTATTGTAGCAGTCTGGAGTACATCCCCCAATAACATAACTCCACTGATTGGTTTTAGCATCTCTATAAATCAGAATTTTATCCTCACTACTCCCACCTTCTCCAGATAGAGTATAATACACACCAATATAGTTATCTGACTCAGTAGTGTTAGTTATCATCTGTACTGGTTCGTAGTGTGACAGGGTGTAGCTTGTGTTACTAACACACTGTATCCAACCTAGAAATATATTAAATATTATACATGGAAGTTGGAACACTTGATTGATACCTGTTAATAACGTGTCAATACTAGTTTTTACTGCCGACTGAGTAACTATTAGTTACTAGTACAAATAGTTATTACGTTTGTTTAAGACTAAAGAATTGTGAAAGTTTAAATTGTAAAATACCTTTATTAACCTATTACATATTATATCATTTACCTGATTCTATTTCCTCAGTTTGATTAGCAATATCTTTACAATCCTCACCATCACTGTCTTGTACATCTTCAGTATTTTCATCAACTTCTAGCTCTTCTTTAGAGCTACTTGACTCTTCAGTATTTCTCCCTTTAATAAAATTCTTAACAACCGCTTTCATTTCAGCACATTCAGAATGTTCAGATAAAGCGGCCAGAACTTCGCCTAAATCATTTAATTCCGAAGGGAAAGTACGGCTAAACTTCTGGAGATCTAGTTTTTGAAGCATGTACAGGGAATTCTTATCTAATCCTTTACATTCCAAGGTTAATGAAATATAAGATATGAGACAGTTGCCGATAATGTTCAGATCATTCGCAGCAATAGCGAGGGACATATCAATCCGACGTTTGGGTAGCTTAGAAAATCCAGCCATATATCTGTGTAAGAAGACAAATTTTCCATTTCCACTGAAAGCAACATTCCTCACAAAGCAGCTGACATATCTGCTGTCTTTCAGATTATAATGCGTCCTGCTAGCAATCTCACAAGCAAATAACATTTCTTCGTACGAGTTGTTCTCAAACTTCAGTACTTCTGCTTTATAAAACTTGAGGCACCTCTTTGTCAACCAAGACACATCGAATACATGTGCCATTTTGTTTACTTCTTCAAAGTTGTCTTTTTCTAGTTTATCAACTTCGCCAGAGTAAAGCGCTTCAACAAAACAGTCGACTGCTGTTTTTGTAAAATCGTCCATTTCTAGCGTAGACTGAAATTGTGCAGGGTAATAATACATTTTACATTCATAACCGGACATAATTTAGAATCGAATTGTCAATTCGCATTGAAAAGTAGCGAATTTCATTATACGAACAGTATTAAATATTTTACCTGAAACAGGTTAGTGGCGAGGTTTTCAATAACAGGACTGTTATAGGACATGATCATGGAATTGGTTTTAATCTCTTGTCCATCTCTCAGCTTCAGAAGCAGATTTCCGTGTACAGGAGAGTTGATGTGTTCTACTCCAAAGTTGGCTGGTACTTTAATTTTTGGAGCCATAACGTATAAACTGCTAAAACTTTAATTGTGATTATGAACAAAATGTCTAGCTATTTTTATTTAAGTTTATCAAGTTTTAATGTTAGTAACAGCTAAATACCAACTCTGTTAATAATTTTAGAACAAGGCTGTTTTATTAATTAAGTGTAGTTAGGTGTTCATGAATCTGCATGGCATTTTGATTATTTGAAAAGAAAACTCAAAATATCACTAAAAGAATCTTAATTTATTTAAAACAGTTTACTTACATAAATCTAATACAAAAAGTTAACTCTCAAAGTGACATGTAAACTTTTTGATTTTTATTGTATGTACTATACATATAATGCTTAGATAACATAATATGGATCATGTGGACTACATGTGTTAGTACCAGTCAGCTATATTCACTTACAAATAGGTAGTAAGGTGAACATGCCAACCATTCAAAAGATTGTTCATCAAGTTAATAAAAATGGAAGTTAATTTTTTTTGCTTAAAACAGAAAAAAAACTGAGATAATTGACTAACCCCAACTAATTAACATTAACTGAGTGAAAAACTAAATTGTGTAAAGTAAGAAGTGTGCACTGGTCAGTTTACTTGAAACGAGAATTAATTAATTAAAATATTTCCAGTGATGATTGTTCAGAACTGTATCATAATTCATGCAAGACTAACACATTGTCTCCAAATAAGTAAATCACTATCATAATATTTTCGGAGTCGTATATTCGTACACCTTGTCAACCAAATCTGGTGAACATTCTCATAACCTGGTGTGTAGTCAGTAGCAAAGTTGAAATTGAGAACTGTCACTCTGTTACACACTACCTTTAGGTGTGTAGAAGTTTTGGTTATTATCCAGTGTTTGAGTTTATCAGCTGGTACATTGTTTAGAAACTGTCTATTGACACCCAGTGGAGTACATCCTTCAATACAATAACTCCACTGATTGGTTTTAGCTTTTCTATAAATCTGAATATATTTCTCACTACTCCCACCTTCTCCAGGTAGAGTATAAAACACATTAATAAGGTTATCTGACTGTGTAGTGTTAGTTATCATCTGTACTGGTTCGTAGTGTGACAGGGTGTAGTATGTTTCACTAACACACTGTATCCAACCTAGAAATAGGTTAAATATTATACATGGAACACTTGATTGATACGTATAAATAACGTGTCAATACTAGTAGTTAGTTGCTACTACAGTAGTTACTACGTAATTATTAGTCACTACTATACTAGTAGTTATTACGTCTGTATTAGAATAAAGAAGTGTGAAAGTTTAAATTGTACAAATACCTTTCTTCACCTATAACATATTACATCATTTACCTGATTCTATTTCCTCAGTTTGATTAGCAATATCTTTACAATCCTCACCATCACTGTCTTGTACATCTTCAGTATTTTCATCAACTTCTAGTTCTTCTTTAGAGCTACTTGACTCTTCTGTATTTCTCCCTTTAACAAACTTCTCTACAACTGCTTTCATTTCAGCACATTCAGAATGTTCAGTTACAGCGGCCAGAACTTCGCCTAAATCATTTAATTCCGAAGGGAAAGTACGGCTAAACTTCTGGAGATCTAGTTTTTGAAGCATGTACAGGGAATTCTCATCTAATCCTTTACATTCCAAGGTTAATGAAATATAAGATATGAGACAGTTGCCGATAATGTTCAGATCATTCGCAGCAATAGCGAGGGACATGTCAATCCGACGTTTGGGTAGCTTAGAAAATCCAGGCATATATCTGTGTAAGAAGACAAATTTTCCATTTCCACTGAAAGCAACATTATTCACAAAGCAGCTGACATATCTGCTGTTTTTCAGATTGTAATGCGCCCTGCTAGCAATCTCACAAGCAAATAACATTTCTTCGTACGAGTTGTTCTCAAACTTAAGTACTTCTGCTTTGTAAAACTTCAGGCACCTCTTAGTCAACCATGACACATCGAATACATGTGCCATTTTGTTTACTTCTTCAAAATTGTCTTTTTCCAGTTTATCAACTTCACCAGAATACAGCGCTTCAACAAAACAGTCGACTGCTGGCTTTGTGAAATCGTCCATTTCAAGCGTGGACTGAAATTGTAGAGGATATTAATTTATTTTACATAAAAACCGGACATAATTCAGAATCGAATTGTCAAATTTACTAAATAATCATGTAAGCATTGAAAAGTAGCTAATTTCACTATATAAACAGTCTCAAATCTTTTACCTGAAACAGGTTGGTGGTGAGCTTGTCAATAACAGGACTGTTATAGGACATGATCATGGAATTAGTTCTGATCTCTTGTCCATCTTTCAGCTTAAGAAGCAGATTTCCGTGTACAGGAGAGTTGATGTGTTCAACACCAAAGTTAGCAGGTACTTTAATTTTTGGAGCCATAACGTATAAACTGCTAAAACTTAAATTGTGATTATTAACAAAATGTCTAGCTATTTTGATTTTAGTTTATCAAGTTTTATTGTTAGTAACAGCTAAATACCAACTCTGTTAATGATTTTAGAACAAGACTGTTTTATCAATTAAGTGTAGTTCAGTGTTCATGAATTTGCATGGTATTTTGAGTATTTGAAAAGAAAACTCACAATATCATTGAAAGAATCTTAATTTATTTAAAACAGTTTACGGGTATCGGCCTTACAAAATGACACGAAAAAGGAGATGGCTCTGAAATGCACAAAAATGAGTTTTGTTCATGTTTTATTATCCAGATAGGTAGTTCAACAAGTATATTTTTCTTCCCGGGGGTTGATTTCATTAAAAAACCGTAAATTTTGCGATGAAAATTCTCAATCTGAAATCTTCCAAAAAAACATGCCTTACAAAATGACAATTTCGTCCCGGCTGTCATTTTTTAACAGCAGCCTATAGAAATTTGATTTCACCTAGGACAGTTAGGACAGTTAGATAAATATAATAGATTGAAGATTAGAATAGCTTTTACAGGAAATAAAAAAGGATGGTTTAAAAAAGTTGGGCAACTTCGCGTGAGATTGTGCCTTACAAAATGACAACCCAAAACGGCATCACTCCAAATCCGATTTGGGAAAAAGTTTCATTATTCTTTCACGTGTCTTACTATTAGATATATATGCTGTTTATATTATACCAGTTCTGTTTTTACCAGAATATATTAAAAAAGGAACATTTTTTATACTTTGAAAAAATTGAAAAAATGTCATTTTGTGAGGCGTAAAAATCATTTTTTGTTTTTATACTTGAACACAGTATTTGGTTATATTTGATATGTTCTATGCCTGGATAGATCACTTTTCAGTGTTTAGTTAACGTTTGACATGTATTACTCTCTGCTTTCACAAAATAGAAGCTTTATTTCGTTGAGTTTTGAAATGTTTTTAAAACATTTTGATATCAGAGCTGCACTTTTGTAATGCTTACTTGATTGTTAACTGTCAGATTATGATTATTTTTAACTCCTTCTTGTATTGACTGTTTCTGATCCATTTTAGATGATGAAAGTAAAACAATCTGAAACACTGTCATTTTGTAAGGCTTTCGGTGTCATTTTGTGAGGCATTTTTATCAAAATTGATGATCAAACGAACACATTTAGGCTCATCATAAGCTTACTGGGTTTTAGAATACCAATAATTAGGCAAGGGGCATCCAATATAAATATGCCATCTTTGTATAATAAAATAAAACTGTCATTTTGTGAGGCATAACAATGTCATTTTGTGAGGCTAGGTCGTTTTTTTGTCATTTTTCCTACCAAAGTCACTAAATCAGTTTTTTTATTTAACCAGAGTAGTCTTTGATTGACATAAGTCATGGTAGTACCTGGTTTCCTGGGGTTAAATTCAAAACTTTGGTCTCCATTCTGGTTAACAGTTAGGCGGGGCAATGACTGAACAGCAAAAACGTCCATATTTATGTAAGAAATATAGATTCTATGTCATTATCATTCCTTGGGAAGTGTTAATTAATGCTTTTTCTTTCATACAGTAAAAGGAATAGGGTTCAATGTATAGGGAACCTAAGCTACAGCATGGTCTATGTCGACTGTCATTTTGTGAGGCCTGTCATTTTGTAAGGCCGATACCCGTACTTACATAAATGTATTACAAAAAAGTTAACTCTCAAAGTAACCTGTAAAATTTTTGATTTTGATTGTATGTACTATACATATAATGCTTAGATAACATAATATGGATCATGTGGACAACATGTGCTAGTACCAGTCAGCTATATTCACTTACAAATAGGTAATAAGGTGAACATGCTAACCATTAAAAAGATTGCTCATCAAGTTAATCAAAATGGACGTTACATTTTTTTGCTTAAAACAGAAAACAAACTGAGATAACTGACTAACCCTAACCAATTAACATTAACTGAGTGAAAAACTAAATTGTGTAAAGTAAGAAGTGTGCACTGGTCAGTTTACTTGAAACGAGAATTAATTAATTAAAATATTTCCAGTGATGATTGTTCAGAACTATATCATAATTCATGCAAGACTAACACATTGTCTCCAAATAAGTAAATCATTATCATCAAATTTTCGGAGTTGTATATTCGTGCACCTTTTCAACCAAACCTGGTGACTATTCTCAGAACCTGGTGTGTAGTCAGTAGCAAAGTTGAAATTGAGAACTGTCACTCTGTTACACACTACCTTTAGGTGTGTAGAAGTTTTGGTTATTATCCAGTGTTTGAGTTTATCAGCTGGTACATTATTTAGAATGACATCCGGAGTACATCCCCCAATAAAATAACTCCACTGATTGGTTTTAGCATTTCTATAAATCTGAATATGTTTCTCACTACTACCACCTTCTCCAGATAGAGTATAATACACAAAAATACAGTTCACTGACTGTGTAGTATTAGTTATCATCTGTACTGGTTCGTAGTGTGACAGGGTGTAGTGTGTGTCACTAACACACTGTATCCAACCTAGAAATAATAGATTAAATATTATACATGGAACACTTGATTTGATACCGTGATACGTGTAAATAACGTGCAAATAAATACGCATAAAAGTATAAGAATAAAGAATTGTGAATGTTTAAATTGTAAAATACTTTTATTAACCTATTACATATTATATCATTTACCTGTGTCTATTTCCTCAGTTTGATTAGCAACATCTTTACAATCCTCACCATCACTGTCTTGTACATCTTCAGTATTTTCATCAACTTCTAGCTCTTCTTTAGAGCTACTTGACTCTTCAGTATTCCTCTCTTTAACAAAATTATCAACAACCGCTTTCATTTCAGCACATTCAGAATCTTCAGTTATAGTGACCAGGAAGTCCGTTAACTCATTTAACTCAGATGGAAAAGTACGGCTAAACTTCTTGAAATCCAGCTTTTGAAGCATGTACAGAGAATTCTCGTCCAATCCTTTACATTTCAGGTTAAAGGAAATATAAGTTACAAGACAATTGCTGATGATGTTCAAGTTATTCGCAGCAATAGCGAGCGACATGTCAATCCGACGTTTGGGTAGCTCAGAAAAACCAGCCATATATCTCTGTAAGAAGAAAAATTTGCCATTACCACTGAAAGTAACATTCTTCACAAAGCAGCTGACATATCTGCTGTCTTTCAGATTATAATGCGCCCTGCTAGCAATCTCACAAGCAAATAACATCTCTTCGTACGAGTTGTTCTCAAACTTCAGCACTTCTGCTTTGTAAAACTTCAGGCACCTCTTAGTCAACCAGGACACATCGAATACATGTGCCATTTTGTTTACTTCTTCAAAGATGCCCTTCTCTAGTTTATCAACTTCAGTACAGCGCTTCAACAAAACAGTTGACTGCTTGCTTTGTGAAATCATCCATTTCTAGCGTGGACTGAAATTGGACAGGATATTAATTTATTTTACATAAAAACCGGATATAATTTAGAATCGAATTGTCAAATTTACGGCAAGTTTCCATAAACAATATTTTATGATCGGCGCTGAGAAAGCGCTCAATAAGCGATTATCGGCGCCGATCATAAAATATCGTTTATGGAACCTTGCCAAATTTACAAAATAATTTTGTAAGCATTGAAAAATAGCGAATTTCACAATATGAACAGTCTCAAATCTTTTACCTGAAACAGGTTGGAGGTCAGTTTGTCAATAACAGGACTGTTATAGGACATGATCATGGAATTGGTTTTAATCTCTTGTCCATCTCTCAGCTTAAGAAGCAGATTTCCGTGTACAGGAGAGTTGATGTGTTGTACACCAAAGTTGGCAGGTACTTTTATTTTTGGAGCCATAACGTAGCAACTGCTAAAACATAAATATTGTGAATTTAAAGCTCGTAGAATTAAAGACTATAATTGATAAGTGTAGCGTGTAGAACATTCCGAATTTAATACTGTGTATAAAACAATTGATTACAATCAAATGAGAAAAAGGTACTATATATTCAAAAAGAAGAATCAAATCAAAATAATAGAAATAATTTTTAACATGCCATAACAATACCCAATATCAAAATGACTGCCAGCTTTTTTCAGTTCAAAATTTGAAATATAGCTTAAAAAAGAAATAATATTAATTAATCTCGTCGTTAAAAACAAAAAGCACATTGAGATAAATCACATAAAACTGACCACAGTTGATAAATAAGTTCACAACTGAATTATGTGTATATTACAAGTACACTGTGTATACACTGTTCAGTTGGTAAATAAGTTAACACTTTAATAATCCGGAAAGAATTTCTACTAATTATAGTTTAGAGGTAATATCTGCCTAATTTACAGAAACTAACCGACCGTATTTAAAACAAGTAAATCATCACAATAATTAATAAGTCGTATTTTTGTGCACCTTTTCAACCAAACCTGGTGACTATTCTCAGAACCTGGTGTGTAGTCAGTAGCAAAGTTGAAATTGAGAACTGTCACTCTGTTACACACTACCTTTAAGTGTGTAGAAGTTTTGGTTATTATCCAGTGTTTGAATTTAGCAGCTGGTACATTGTTTAGAAACTGTTTATTGATAGTATTTGGAGTACATCCCCCAATACAATAACTCCACTGATTGGTTTTAACATTTCTATAAATCCTAATATGTTTCTCACTACTCCCACCTTCCCCAGGTAGAGTATAACACACATATATCTCGTTCACTGTCTCTGTAGTGTTAGTTATCATCTGTACAGGTTCGTAGTGTGACAGGGTGTAGTCTGTTTTCTGAACACACTGTATCCAACCTAGAAATATATTCAATATTGTACATAGAACACTTGATTGATACCTGTTAATAAGGTGACAATACTAGTAGTTGCTACGTAACTAGTAGTTACTACTAGTAGTTATTACGTTTGTTTAAGACTAAAGTATTGTGAAAGTTTAAATTGTAAAATACCTTTATTAACCAATTACATATTACCAATTACAATTACATATTACTTAGCGTAGATAAGCAAGCATTTCACTGCCGCTAAATTCCTTTTCCATACATTAATCTCAATCGCGCACTCATAATTACTGTAAGCGCTGAGTTACCGGCCAAAATCATTAATCACTGATGGTAAAATTTTGCACAAAATTTTAAAAACAATAGTCCAAGCTGTTCAGTGCAAGTCTAAACTTCTTAACCTATAGGATCGATATTATGGATGTGTAATATCATGTGTAGCATGAAGCGTTGTGTTTTTAAATCTGTAGTTCATAGTACTTCATGATCACAGTGTACTTTTTGATAACAGTGTGCAGTGCCCTTTCCAGAGGGTTTTTTAAAAGAATTCTTTAACGTTACTATTTTCTATCTATTACTGTTTGTATTATAATTTTGAGTAAACATTAATCGAGTAAACCGCTCGATTCCCAATCAATCATATCATTTACCTGATTCTATTTCCTCAGTTTGATTAGCAATATCTTTACAATCATCTCTATCACTGTCTTGTACATCTTTAGTACTTTCATAAACTTTTAGCTCTTCTTTAGAGCTACTTGATGCTTCAGTACTTCTACCTTTAACAAAATGATCAACAATCGTTTTCACCTTAGCACATTTAGAATCTTTAGACACAGCGGCCAGAACGTCGCATAAATCATTTAATTCCGAAGGAAAAGTTCGGTTAAACTTCTGGAGATCTAGTTTTTGAAGCATGTACAGGGAATTCTCATCAAATTCTTTGCATTTCAAGGTTAAAGAAATATAGGCTATAAGACAATTGCCGATAATGTTCAGATCATTCGCAGCAATAGCGAGGGACATGTCAATCCGACGTTTGGAAATCTCAGCAAATCCAGCCATATATCTGTGTAAGAAGACAAATTTTCCATTTCCACTGAAAGTAACATTCCTCACAAAGCAGCTGACATATCTGCTGTCTTTCAGATTGTAATGCGCCCTGCTAGCAATCTCGCAAGCAAATAACATCTCTTCGTATGAGTTGTTCTCAAACTTCAGTACTTCTGCTTTGTAAAACTTCCGGCACCTCTTAGTCAACCAGGACACATCGAATACATGTGCCATTTTGTTTACTTCTTCAAAATTGTCTTTTTCCAGTTTATCAACTTCACCAGAGTAAAGCGCTTCAACAAAACAGTCGACTGCTGGCTTTGTGAAATCATCCATCTCAATAGATGACTGAAATGAGCCAGATATTATTTAATGAATTTAAGTATAAGTTAAACATCGCCTAATAGAAAATAAATAGAAGTTTGATTGTAAGGATTTTGAAAGCACATAATTGTACAGTCGTCAGTCACCAATGTTACTGAAAGTATCCTGCTCTTAATATTTTTACCTGAAACAGATTGGTTGTCAGCTTGTCAATAACAGGACTGTTATAGGACATGATCATGGAATTGGTTTTAATCTCTTGTCCATCTCTCAGCTTCAGAAGCAGATTTCCGTGAGCAGGAGAGTTGATGTGTTCAACACCAAAGTTGGCTGGTACTTTAATTTTTGGAGCCATAACGTAGCTACTACTAAAATGTAAATTGTGAATTTAAAGCCTGTAGAATTAAAGACTATAATTAATAAATGTAGCGTGTAGAACATTCCGAGTTTAATAATGTGTATAAAAACAATTGGTAATAATCAAACAATAAAAGGTACTATTCATTCAAAAAGTCGTGAGGAAGAATCAAATCAAAACAATAGAAATAATCTTTAACATGCCATAAGAATACTTAATATCAAAGTGACTGCCAGCTTTTTTCAGTTCAAAATTTGAAATATTGCTTAAAAAAAGGAATAACATTAATTAATGTTGTCGTTTAAAACAAAAAGCACATTGAGATAAATCACATAAAACTGATCTCAGTTGATAAATGAGTTCGAAACTGAATCATGTGTATATTACAAGTACACTGTGTATACACTGCTCAGTTGGTAAATAAGATAACACTCAAATAATTCGGAAAATATTCCCAATAATAATAGTTTAGAGGTCATATCTGCCTAATTTACATAAACTAACCGCCTGCATTTAAAACAAGTAAGTCACCATAACACTTATAAAGTCGTAAATTCGTGCACCTTCTCAACCAAATCTGGTGACTATTCTCAGAACCTGGTTTGTAGTCAGTAGCAAAGTTGAAATTGAGAACTGTCACTCTGTTACACACTACCTTTAGGTGTGTAGAAGTTTTGGTTATTATCCAGTGTTTGAGTTTATCAGCTGGTACATTGTTTAGAAACTGTGTATTGACAGCCCATGTAGTACAACCTTCAATAACATAACTCCACTGATTGGTTTTAACATCTCTATAAATCCAAATATGTTTCTCACTACTACCACATCCTCCAGATAGAGTATAATACACAAGAATTTCGTTTTTTGACTCTGTAGTGTTAGTTACCATCTGTACTGGTTCGTAGTGTGACAGGGTGTAGTGTGTGTTACTAACACACTGTATCCAACCTAGAAATATATTAAAAATTATACATGGAACACTTGATTTGATACGTGTAAATATCGTGCGAATAATTACGTTTAAGATTAAGGATAAATAATTCTGAAAGTTTCAACTGTAGAAATACCTTAATTAACCTATTACATGTAATCTCATTTACCTGATTCTATTTCCTCAGTTTGATTAGCAATATCTTTACAATCCTCACCATCACTGTCTTGTACATCTTCAGTATTTTCATAAACTTCTAGCTCTTCTTTAGAGCTACTTGACTCTTCAGTATTCCTCTCTTTAACAAAATTATCTACAACTGCTTTTATTTCAGCACATTCACAATTTTCAGATACAGCGGCAAGGAAGTTGGTTAAATCATTCAAATAAGAGGGAAAAGTACGGCTGAACTTCTGAACATCCAGCTTCTGTAAAATGTACAGAGAATTCTCGTCCAATCCTTTACATTTCAGGGTTAAGGAAACGTAAGTTATAAGACAATTGCTTATGATGTTCAAATCATTAGCAGCAATAGCTAAGGACATATCAATCCGACGTTTGGGTAGCTCAGAAAAACCAGCCATGTATCTCTGTAAGAAGACAAATTTGGCGTTACCACTGAAAGTAACATTCTTCACAAAGCAGCTGACATATCTGCTGTCTTTCAGATTATAATGCGCCCTGCTAGCAATCTCAGAAGCAAATAACATCTCTTCGTACGAGTTGTTCTCAAACTTCAGTACTTCTGCTTTATAAAACTTCAGACATCTCTTAGTCAACCAGGACACATCAAATACATGTGCCATCTTATTCACTTCTTCAAAGATGTCTTTCTCCAGTTTATCAACTTCACCAGAGTACATCGCTTCAACAAAACAGTCGACTGATGGTTTTGTGAAATCATCCACCTCAATAGACGACTGAAATGGGCCAGATATTAATTAATAAGTTTAACTATATAAGTTAAACATCGCCTAATAGAAAAAATAAATAAAAGTTTGATTGTAAGAATATTTCAAGCACATAATTGTTCAGTCACTTAAACACTGAAAGTATCGTCCTGCTCTTAATATTTTTACCTGAAACAGGTTGGTGGTCAGCTTGTCAATAACAGGACTGTTGTAGGACATGATCATGGAATTAGTTCTGATTTCTTGTCCATCTCTCAGCTTCAGAAGCAGATTTCCGTGTACACGAGAGTTGATGTGTTCTACACCAAAGTTGGCAGGTACTTTAATTTTTGGAGCCATAACGTAGCAACTGCTAAAAAGTAAATTGCGAGTTTAAACCATGTAGAATTAAAGGCTATAATTGATAACTGTAGCGTGTAAAACATTCCGAATTTAATAATGTGTATAAAAACAATTGGTAACAACCAAACAATAAAAAGGTGCTATTCATTCAAAAAGTCGTGAGGAAGAAACAAAACAATAGAAATAATCTTTAACATGCCATAACAATACTCAATATCAAAGTGACTGCCAGCTTTTTACAGTTCAAAATTTGAAATATTGCTTTAAAAAAGTTATAACATTAATTAATCTCGTCGTTAAAAACAAAAAGAACATTGAGATAAATCACATAAAACTGATCTCAGTTGATAAATGAGTTGAAAGCTGGATTATGTGTATATTACAAGTACACTGTGTATACACTGCTCAGCTGGTAAATAAGATAACACTTAAATAATTCGGAAAGTATTTCCAATAATTATAGTTTAGAGGTCATATCTGCCTAATTTACATAAACTAACTGCCTGTTTTTAAAACAAGTATATCACTATCATAATATTTAATGAGTTGTATATTCGTGCACCTTCTCAACCAAATCTGGTGACTATTCTCAGAACCTGGTGTGTAGTCAGTAGCAAAGTTGAAATTGAGAACTGTCACTCTGTTACACACTATCTTTAGATGTGTAGAAGTTTTGGTTATTATCCAGTGTTTGAGTTTATCAGCTGGTACATTGTTTAGAAACTGTGTATTGACAGCCCATGTAGTACAACCTTCAATAACATAACTCCACTGATTGGTTTTAACATCTCTATAAATCCAAATATGTTTCTCACTACTACCACATCCTCCAGATAGAGTATAATACACAAGAATTTCGTTTTTTGACTCTGTAGTGTTAGTTACCATCTGTACTGGTTCGTAGTGTGACAGGGTGTAGTGTGTGTTACTAACACACTGTATCCAACCTAGAAATATATTAAAAATTATACATGGAACACTTGATTTGATACGTGTAAATATCGTGCGAATAATTACGTTTAAGATTAAGGATAAATAATTCTGAAAGTTTCAACTGTAGAAATACCTTAATTAACCTATTACATGTAATCTCATTTACCTGATTCTATTTCCTCAGTTTGATTAGCAATATCTTTACAATCCTCACCATCACTGTCTTGTACATCTTCAGTATTTTCATAAACTTCTAGCTCTTCTTTAGAGCTACTTGACTCTTCAGTATTCCTCTCTTTAACAAAATTATCTACAACTGCTTTTATTTCAGCACATTCACAATTTTCAGATACAGCGGCAAGGAAGTTGGTTAAATCATTCAAATAAGAGGGAAAAGTACGGCTGAACTTCTGAACATCCAGCTTCTGTAAAATGTACAGAGAATTCTCGTCCAATCCTTTACATTTCAGGGTTAAGGAAACGTAAGTTATAAGACAATTGCTAATGATGTTCAAATCATTAGCAGCAATAGCTAAGGACATATCAATCCGACGTTTGGGAACCTCAGAAAAACCAGCCATGTATTTCTGTAAAAAGATAAATCTTCCATTTTCACCGAAAGTAACATTCTTCACAAAGCAGCTGACATATCTGCTGTCTTTCAGATTATAATGTGCCCTGCTAGCAATCTCAGAAGCAAATAACATCTCTTCGTACGAGTTGTTCTCAAACTTCAGTACTTCTGCTTTATAAAACTTCAGACATCTCTTAGTCAACCAGGACACATCAAATACATGTGCCATCTTATTCACTTCTTCAAAGATGTCTTTCTCCAGTTTATCAACTTCACCAGAGTACATCGCTTCAACAAAACAGTCGACTGATGGTTTTGTGAAATCATCCACCTCAATAGACGACTGAAATGGGCCAGATATTAATTAATAAGTTTAACTATATAAGTTAAACATCGCCTAATAGAAAAAATAAATAAAAGTTTGATTGTAAGAATATTTCAAGCACATAATTGTTCAGTCACTTAAACACTGAAAGTATCGTCCTGCTCTTAATATTTTTACCTGAAACAGGTTGGTGGTCAGCTTGTCAATAACAGGACTGTTGTAGGACATGATCATGGAATTAGTTCTGATTTCTTGTCCATCTCTCAGCTTCAGAAGCAGATTTCCGTGTACACGAGAGTTGATGTGTTCTACACCAAAGTTGGCAGGTACTTTAATTTTTGGAGCCATAACGTAGCAACTGCTAAAAAGTAAATTGCGAGTTTAAACCATGTAGAATTAAAGGCTATAATTGATAACTGTAGCGTGTAAAACATTCCGAATTTAATAATGTGTATAAAAACAATTGGTAACAACCAAACAATAAAAAGGTGCTATTCATTCAAAAAGTCGTGAGGAAGAAACAAAACAATAGAAATAATCTTTAACATGCCATAACAATACTCAATATCAAAGTGACTGCCAGCTTTTTACAGTTCAAAATTTGAAATATTGCTTTAAAAAAGTTATAACATTAATTAATCTCGTCGTTAAAAACAAAAAGAACATTGAGATAAATCACATAAAACTGATCTCAGTTGATAAATGAGTTGAAAGCTGGATTATGTGTATATTACAAGTACACTGTGTATACACTGCTCAGCTGGTAAATAAGATAACACTTAAATAATTCGGAAAGAATTTCCAATAATTATAGTTTAGAGGTCATATCTGCCTAATTTACATAAACTAACTGCCTGTTTTTAAAACAAGTATATCACTATCATAATATTTAATGAGTTGTATATTCGTGCACCTTCTCAACCAAATCTGGTGACTATTCTCAGAACCTGGTGTGTAGTCAGTAGCAAAGTTGAAATTGAGAACTGTCACTCTGTTACACACTATCTTTAGATGTGTAGAAGTTTTGGTTATTATCCAGTGTTTGAGTTTATCAGCTGGTACATTATTTAGAAACTGTGTATTGACATTGTATACAGTCAGTACACAGTCCTGTATCAGGAGTACAACCCCTGATACAATAACTCCACTGATTGGTTTTAGCATCTCTATAAATCAGAATTTTATCCTCACCACTCCCACCTTCTCCAGATAGAGTATAATACACTTCAATACTGTTCGCTGACTCTGTAGTGTTAGTTATCATCTGTACTGGTTCGTAGTGTGACAGGGTGTAGTGTGTTTTAAGAACACACTGTATCCAACCTAGAAATAATAGATTAAATATTATACATGGAAGTTGGAACACTTGATTGATACCTGTTAATAACGTGTCAATACTAGTTTTTACTGCCGACTAAGTAACTATTAGTTACTACTAGTAGTTATTACGTTTGTTTAAGACTAAAGAATTGCGAAAGTTTAAATTGTAAAATACCTTTATTAACCTATTACATATTATATCATTTACCTGATTCTATTTCCTCAGTTTGATTAGCAATATCTTTACAATCCTCACCATCACTGTCTTGTACATCTTCAGTATTTTCATCAACTTCTAGCTCTTCTTTAGAGCTACTTGACTCTTCAGTATTTCTCCCTTTAATAAAATTCTTTACAACCGCTTTCATTTCAGCACATTCAGAATGTTCAGTTACAGCGGCCAGAACTTCGCCTAAATCATTTAATTCCGAAGGGAAAGTACGGCTAAACTTCTGGAGATCTAGTTTTTGAAGCATGTACAGGGAATTCTTATCTAATCCTTTACATTCCAAGGTTAATGAAATATAAGATATGAGACAGTTGCCGATAATGTTCAGATCATTCGCAGCAATAGCGAGGGACATATCAATCCGACGTTTGGGTAGCTTAGAAAATCCAGCCATATATCTGTGTAAGAAGACAAATTTTCCATTTCCACTGAAAGCAACATTCCTCACAAAGCAGCTGACATATCTGCTGTCTTTCAGATTATAATACCTTCCGGGAATTATATCCTCTAAAAGTCTCGGACACTGAGAGCTGATAATTTGCCGATATATCCCGCAAGGGAAGCCAAGGTATTATCAGCATAGACCTCAGACTGGCTGGCGGCAAGTTGTAAAACAAATAACACTGGCGTTCTATATATTAGACACTATATTGTATCATGCGCACGTATCGGATTACACCCCTTCCAATCGGAGAACCGGAAAATATTATAATACATAATACCTCCGGTTCTTCGGGCCGCAAATTCCCTCCAGCAAGCTGTCGGGAATTATCAAGCGGAGCCCGAAGAGCCGAAGGCATTATTATATTATAATGCGTCCTGCTAGCAATCTCACAAGCAAATAACATTTCTTCGTACGAGTTGTTCTCAAACTTCAGTACTTCTGCTTTATGAAACTTGAGGCACCTCTTTGTCAACCAAGACACATCGAATACATGTGCCATTTTGTTTACTTCTTCAAAGTTGTTTTTTTCTAGTTTATCAACTTCGCCAGAGTAAAGCGCTTCAACAAAACAGTCGACTGCTGTTTTTGTGAAATCGTCCATTTCTAGCGTAGACTGAAATTGTGCAGGGTAATAATACATTTTACATTCATAACCGGACATAATTTAGAATCGAATTGTCAATTCGCATTGAAAAGTAGCGAATTTCATTATACGAACAGTATTAAATATTTTACCTGAAACAGGTTAGTGGCGAGGTTTTCAATAACAGGACTGTTATAGGACATGATCATGGAATTGGTTTTAATCTCTTGTCCATCTCTCAGCTTCAGAAGCAGATTTCCGTGTACAGGAGAGTTGATGTGTTCTACTCCAAAGTTGGCTGGTACTTTAATTTTTGGAGCCATAACGTATAAACTGCTAAAACTTAAATTGTGATAATGAAAAAAATGTCTAGTTATTTTGATTTTAGTTTATCAAGTTTTAATGTTAGTAACAGTTAAATACCAACTTTGTTAATAATTTTAGAACAAGACTGTTTTATTAATTAAGTGTAGTTCAGTGTTCATGAATTTGCATAGTATTTTGATTATTTGAAAAGAAAGCTCACAATATCATTGAAAGAATCTTAATTTATTTAAAACAGTTTACTTACATAAATCTAATACAAAAAGTTAACTCTCAAAGTGACCTGTAAACTTTTGGATTTTGATTGTATGTACTATACATATTACATAATGCTTAGATAACATAATATGGATCATGTGGACAACATGTGTAAGTACCAGTCAGCTATATTCACTTACAAATAGGTAATAAGGTGAACATGCTAACCATTAAAAAGATTGCTCATCAAGTTAATAAAAATGGACGTTACATTTTTTTGCTTAAAACAGAAAAAAACTGAGATAACTGACTAACCCTAACCAATTAACATTAACTGAGTGAAAAACTAAATTGTGTAAAGTAAGAAGTGTGCACTGGTCAGTTTACTTGAAACGAGAATTAATTAATTAAAATATTTCCGGTGATGATTGTTCAGAACTGTATCATAATTCATGCAAGACTAACACATTGTCTCCAAATAAGTAAATCATTATCATCATATTTCCGGAGTTGTATATTCGTGCACCTTTCCAACCAAACCTGGTGACTATTCTCAGAACCTGGTTTGTAGTCAGTAGCAAAGTTGAAATTGAGAACTGTCACTCTGTTACACACTACCTTTAGGTGTGTAGAAGTTTTGGTTATTATCCAGTGTTTGAGTTTATCAGCTGGTACATTATTTAGAATGACATCCGGAGTACATCCCCCAATAAAATAACTCCACTGATTGGTTTTAGCATTTCTATAAATCTGAATATGTTTCTCACTACTACCACCTTCTCCAGATAGAGTATAATACACAAAAATACAGTTCACTGACTGTGTAGTATTAGTTATCATCTGTACTGGTTCGTAGTGTGACAGGGTGTAGTGTGTGTCACTAACACACTGTATCCAACCTAGAAATAATAGATTAAATATTATATATGGAACACTTGATTTGATACCGTGATACGTGTAAATAACGTGCAAATAAATACGCATAAAAGTATAAGAATAAAGAATTGTGAATGTTTAAATTGTAAAATACTTTTATTAACCTATTACATATTATATCATTTACCTGTGTTTATTTCCTCAGTTTGATTAGCAACATCTTTACAATCCTCACCATCACTGTCTTGTACATCTTCAGTATTTTCATCAACTTCTAGCTCTTCTTTAGAGCTACTTGACTCTTCAGTATTCCTCTCTTTAACAAAATTATCAACAACCGCTTTCATTTCAGCACATTCAGAATCTTCAGTTATAGTGACCAGGAAGTCCGTTAACTCATTTAACTCAGATGGAAAAGTACGGCTAAACTTCTTGAAATCCAGCTTTTGAAGCATGTACAGAGAATTCTCGTCCAATCCTTTACATTTCAGGTTAAAGGAAATATAAGTTACAAGACAATTGCTGATGATGTTCAAGTTATTCGCAGCAATAGCGAGCGACATGTCAATCCGACGTTTGGGTAGCTCAGAAAAACCAGCCATATATCTCTGTAAGAAGAAAAATTTGCCATTACCACTGAAAGTAACATTCTTCACAAAGCAGCTGACATATCTGCTGTCTTTCAGATTATAATGCGCCCTGCTAGCAATCTCACAAGCAAATAACATCTCTTCGTACGAGTTGTTCTCAAACTTCAGTACTTCTGCTTTGTAAAACTTCAGGCACCTCTTAGTCAACCAGGACACATCGAATACATGTGCCATTTTGTTTACTTCTTCAAAGATGCCCTTCTCTAGTTTATCAACTTCACCAGAGTACAGCGCTTCAACAAAACAGTTGACTGCTTGCTTTGTGAAATCATCCATTTCTAGCGTGGACTGAAATTAGACAGGATATTAATTTAAACCAGACATAATTTAGAATCGAATTGTCAAATTTACTAATATGATTATAAATAATAAATTTACTAATATAAATAATCTTGTAAGCATTGAAAAGTAGAGAATTTCACTACATAAACAGTATCAAATCTTTTACCTGAAACAGGTTGGTGGTGAGCTTGTCAATAACAGGACTGTTATAGGACATGATCATGGAATTGGTTATTAATTTATTTTACATAAAAACCAGACATAATTTAGAATCGAATTGTCAAATTTACAAAATAATTTTGTAAGAATTGAAAAGTAGCGAATTTCACAATATGAACAGTCTCAAATCTTTTACCTGAAACAGGTTGGTGGTGAGCTTGTCAATAACAGGACTGTTGTAAGACATGATCATGGAATTGGTTTTAATCTCTTGTCCATCTCTCAGCTTAAGAAGCAGATTTCCGTGTACAGGAGAGTTGATGTGTTCTACACCAAAGTTGGCAGGTACTTTAATTTTTGGGGCCATAACGTAGTGACTGCTAAAATGTAAATTGCGAATTTAGAGCCCGCAGAATTAGAGACTATAATTGATAAATGTAACGTGTAGAACATTCCGAATTTAATGATGTGTATAAAAACAATTCGTAATAATCAAACAATAAAAAGGTACTATTCATTAAAAAAGTCGTGAGGAAGAATAAAATCAAAACAATAGAAATAATCTTTAACATGCCATAACAATACTCAATATCAAAGTGACTGCCAGCTTTTTTCAGTTCAAATTTGAAAAACAAAAAGCACATTGAGATAAATCATCTAAAACTGACCACAGTTGATAAATGAGTTCACAACTGAATCATGTGTATATTACAAGTACACTGTGTATACACTGTTCAGTTCACCGAAAGTGACATTCTTCACAAAGCAGCTGACATATCTGCTGTCTTTAAGATTATAATGCACCCTGCTAGCAATCTCACAAGCAAATAACATCTCTTCGTATGAGTTGTTCTCAAACTTCAGTACTTCTGTTTTATAAAACTTCAGGCACCTCTTAGTCAACCAGGACACATCGAATACATGTGCCATTTTGTTTACATCTTCAAAGATGTCTTTTCCAGTTTATCGACTTCACCAGAGTACAGCGCTTCAACAAAACAGTCGACTGCCGGATTTGCGAAATCATCCACCTCAATAGACGACTGAAATGGGCCAGATGTTAATTAATAAATTTTACCATTTAAGTCAAACATCTAAAAGAGAAGTTTAATTGTAAGGATATTGAAAGCACATAATTGTACAGTCACAAATTTTATTGAAAATACCGTCCTGCTCTTAATATCTTTACCTGAAACAGGTTGGTAGTCAGCTTGTCAATAACAGGACTGTTATAGGACATGATCATGGGGGGGGGGGGGGGGGGGGGGGCCAATGGCATAAAATGGCATAAAATGGCATAAAATGGAGACTTTTTCTATGGAGAAAATGGAAAAACCCATGAGTAATTCTCCATTTTCTCCATTTTATGCCATGAATTTTTTCTTCGAAATTTCATCTTTAACACCATTTAACACCTAAATTGGATATGCTAACATGTTTATTTACGCTTACTAGGGGCGTAACAAGCTTATGAAAGCTCATAGTAGGCTACTAGATGCTTATACTAGGTTAGTAGAGGCACACTTCAGGCAAACTCATAATTACTCAAGCCTAGTGTAAAGTTATTTCTACAGGGTACAGCAGGAGTGAGTAATAGGGGAGAGTAATAGGCACTGAGAAGTGAGACCTACATCCTCGACAGTCGAAACAAGCTCGCACTGCAAAGGGGAGGCCTGCCTTCCGAGATCGCATTACCAGGGGGAAGCCTCGAGTCCAAATTTGTGTATCGAGGGGTAGGTGCAGACTTCGATAAACCGAAAAACCAAAAAGATATTTTCGGCTTATAATGAAGAGGGTAGCATGAAACGTGGAGAAAAGTGGTTTTTAGAAAAACTTTGAAAAATTTTGACTTAACAAATTTTCGGCCCGAGTCATTCTCGATACGTACCTCTCGTATCGAGAGCTCCCGATTCCGAGCTTGTGTTGCAAAGGGGAGGCCTGCCTTCCGAGATCGCATTACCAGGGGGAAGCCTCGAGTCCAAAATTGTGTACCGAGGGGTAATTTCTAAGTCAACATTTTTCAAAGTTTTTCTGAAAAACACTTTTCTCCACGTTTCATGCTACCTTGTTCATTTTAAGCCGAAAATATTTTTTCGGTCAAAATTTTTTCTGAAAACCGCTTCTCTCCACGTTTCATGCTACTCTGCTCATTATTATTATTTCCGAAAATATTTTTTCGGTTTTTCGAAGTCCACACCTTCCCCTCGATACACAATTTTGGACTCGAGGTAATGCGATCTCGGAAGGCAGGCCTCCCCTTTGCAACACGAGCTCGGAATCGGGAGCTCTCGATACGGGAGGTACGTATCGAAAATGACTCGGACCGAACATTTTCTAAGTCAGCATTTTTCAAATTTTTTCTGAAAACCGCTTTTATCCACGTTTCATGCTACCCTGTTCATTATTTGCCGAAAATATTTTTTCGGTTTTTCGAAGTCCAGATCACCTTCCCCTCGATACACAATTTTGGACTCGAGGTAATGCGATCTCGGAAGGCAGGCCTCCCCTTTGCAACACGAGCTGGGAATCGGGAGCTCTCGATACGGGAGGTACGTATCGTAAATGACTCGGACCGAACATTTTCTAAGTCAACATTTTTCAAAGTTTTTCTGAAAACCACTTTTCTCCATGTTTCATGATACTCTGTTCATTATTGGCCGAAAATATCTTTTTTTAAAATAATTTTTCTCGAAATTCTAAATTTTTCAGGTTTTCAATGGCATTTTTTTTTTTTTTTTAAGAGAGGCTGGGCCAAGATAGCCCACGAGAGGATAGCATTGAGATGCTCTGCCTACCTCTGGGGTGTGGCAACCTTGGGGAAGGTTGCCGGTGAAATCAGAGTGATTGGTGGAGGATGGTGTAAGATGATATATGAGTCAAAATGATACGCTTAAATGCCAGCTGGGTTTGGAAAAGTAAAACGAGACGAGACAGCATATGAAATAATACTTTAAGTCACCCCGGTCTGATCCAGCTCTTCCGGCACAAATAAGCGTTTGGTGCGGTTTGCGAAATTGACAATTGTGGTGATGTGTTGGTTGTCGAATATGTCATTGACAGAGAGGTAGTAGTCCTGGAAATATTGACCTCTAATTTGGGCAATAGCTGGACACTGTCCAAGGAAGTGTGAGACAGTTTCCTCTCCGTCGCCGCACATAGGACAAGCACTGGTGTTTGATTTGCAAATGGTGTGAAGGTGTTTGTTTAAGCCGCAGTGACCCGTGATGAGGTGAACTGCAGTTCTGTAATCTTGTCTGTTTTTGCTGAGTGTAGTGTTGAGGTTTTTGATGATTTTGGCATGCTTGTGGCCGAGTGTCAGTTTGGTGTGTCTGGGACCGTCAGTTAACCAAGTTTCCTGATTCAGTCTGTTGACTTTGTTGTCGATTTGACGCTTGATGTAGGATTGTGGAATTGGACACTTCAAAGTGGATTCACTGGTTGTACCAAGCTTGGCCAGCTCATCTGCTTTTTCGTTCCCCCACAATTTCAATGGCATAAAATGGCATAAAATGGCATAAAATGGAGACTATTTCTATGGAGAAAATGGAAAAACCTATGAGTAATTCTCCATTTTCTCCATTTATGCCATTGGCCCCCCCCCCCCCCCGATCATGGAATTAGTTCTGATCTCTTGTCCATCTCTCAGCTTAAGAAGCAGATTTCCGTGTACAGGAGAGTTGATGTGTTCTACACCAAAGTTGGCAGGTACTTTAATTTTTGGAGCCATAACGTAGCAACTGCTAAAACGTAAATTGCGAATTTAAAGCAAGTTGAATTAAAGTCTATAATTGATAACTGTAGCGTGTAGATCATTCCGAACTCAATAATGTGTATAAAAACAATTGGTAACAATCAAACAATAAAAGGTACTATTCATTCAAAAAGTTGCGAGGAAGAATCAAATCAAAACAATAGAAATAATCTTTAACATGTATAACAATACTCATATCAATATTAAAGTGACTGCCAGCTTTTCTCAGTTCAAAATTTGAAATATTGCTTTAAAAAAGGAATAACATTAATTAATCTCGTCGTTTAAAACAAAAAGCACATTGAGATAAATCACATAAAACTAACCACAGTTGATAAATGAGTTCACAACTGAATTATGTGTATATTACAAGTGTGTATACACTGCTCAGTTGGTAAATAAGATAACACTTTAATAATTAGGAAAGAATTTCCACTAATTATATAGTTTAGCGGTCATATCTGCCTAATTTACATAAACTAACCGACCGTATTTAAAACAAGTATGTCACCACTCCATACTTTAAGTCTTATTTTCGTGCAGCTTTCCAACCAAACCTGGTGACTATTCTCAGAACCTGGTGTGTAGTCAGTAGCAAAGTTGAAATTGAGAACTGTCACTCTGTTACACACTACCTTTAGGTGTGTAGAAGTTTTGGTTATTATCCAGTGTTTGAGTTTATCAGCTGGTACATTGTTTAGAAACTGTTTATTGACTTCCCATGGTGTACATCCCTTAATACAATAACTCCACTGATTGGTATTATCATCTCTATAAATCAGAAATTGTTTCTCACTACTCCCACATTCTCCAGATAGAGTATAAAACACATCAATATAGTTATCTGACTCTGTAGTGTTAGTTATCATCTGTACTGGTTCGTAGTGTGACAGGGTGTAGTAAGTGTAACGATCACACTGTATCCAACCTGGTAAAAATTAGTTTCTGGGTCAATTAAATTCTACTGATGGATCACATCACTAATTATACGTCACATCACTAATTATACGTCATATGATCTGAACCCTAATAATGGAGGGCCCCCCTTTGTCGGCCTCCCAGTGTAACTATCACACTGTATCCAACCTAGAAATATATTAAATATTATACATGGAACACTTGATTGATACCTGTTAATAACGTGTCAATATTAGTAGTTACTGCGTAACTATTAGTTACTAGTAGTTATTGTTATGTTTGTTTAAGAATAAAGAATTGTGAAAGTTTAAATTGTAAAAATACCTTCATTACCCTATTACATATATATTCCCACATCCAGAAAGTTAAAAATTTCCTCGCAGATACAAATTTTCTGTTTTCTGTGGCCGCTCGCTTTGCTCGCGAATTTTCCACTTTTGCAATGTCGGCGAGTGAAGTAAGACAGTCTTAAGCATTTGGAGCTAGGCCCAAGAAAAATTTTGTGCTTGGCCACATTAAAATCTACAATAACAAAATATCTGAAGTCCTTCAAAATAGTGTATTACAAAACGGCTTTCTCCTACAACCCACAAGTAAAACATGGCCAGCTTGCACCATCTGTCGTAGTTATCACAAATTATTATTATATGTGCCTTGCAGAGTGGAGGCAACCATATCCTGAGAAATATAGAGTGCATACAACTTAAACTTTCGCA